ACACGACCCTGAAAATCTTAATAAAAATATATACAAAATAAATTATTCCATATAATATATAGGATTACTGATTTCGTAAATCATCTCACCATTAAATATAATTAAACTAATTCAAACAATTAGAAAAAAATAAATGAAATAACACATAATAAATAAGATTAATCATTACTAACCTTCTTAATGATGTAAATGTGGCATAAAAAACAAGCTACAACTGCACTTCCTTCTCCAAAACTGTCCAGAATTGCATATTTTTCTTCAGATTCAAAACCGTCAAACGAGTAAACAATGAAATTATTCAATTATAAGTGAACAATAAAACGGAATTTGAATTTCCGTTTTTACTAATAAAGCCTGGTCCGACCAGTCCCGCGTACAGTGTGTTAGTGTCACGTCAGTGTCAGCACAATTATTATTCTGGACAACCATATTCAAAATCAAAAACGGAATTTCGATTTCCGGTTTTGGGTCCATAAAAATGGAATTTCAATTTCCGTGTTTTTTGAGAAGGCCTGGCCCAACGGTCCCCTGATCAGCGGTCAGTGTCAGCGCAATTATTTAGATTCAAATTCAAAACGGAATTCGAATTTCCGTTTTTAACTCTTTTTTTTTATTTTCCGTGAAAATTGCTTTTCTTTTTTTCTGTTGACATTATTCGCAATAATTTTATGATTTTTTAATCAAATACATAACAATGGAAAACGAACTTTCGTTTTATTAATGACAATTACTAAACGACTATTTTCCGATAGTGTTAGATTCTGACCACAAAAAAATTAAAAAATAAAAATATTTTTTCCTTTTTTCATGCCGTTATTTTTGTCCAAGACCCCAGAAGATGGTGAAGAACTTTTTTTTTTGGGGGGTTTGTGGTTCAGGAGGAGGCGGCTGAGAAAGATTCGAGACGTGTTATCAAATATCAACCATAATTGATTTCAGCGAAAGAAACCTTTTGCAATTTCTTATTTCCTCCCCATGATCCGCTCTTTGCTGCTTGGCCATGTTCGGTTGCCCAAAATCACGGTCTAGAAATCATAAACTATATATTTAACATCAAATAGACAAATACTACTCATATACTATTACTATTACTCTAAATTTAGAATTTTATTACAATTTGCTATGAAACGAACCTATTTTACATGAAACCATGAACCTATTTTACATGAAACCATGAAATCCGTTTGTGTCTATTATTTCTAAAAAACAAAGAAAAAAAATTCATTCGACGAATGTTCAGGGACTCATAATCATCAAATATATGCTTACAAATAAACTCTTAATTTATAGTTGGTCAGAAAGTAAAATAACGTTTTCTTGTGCTTCACAGAGATCCACATTTTTAAATTTCCGAACTAGCATATGAAAGATTCAATAATCTTGTGCAGAGTATTGTAATTTGAGCTCTTTTTTTTTTATCTCCTTTTTTTTTTCGATTTACTTAGAATATTCAAACAATAAAGTTGGCTAAGTTCCTTTTTACAGGTGGGTGTCTGAGTGACATTTTTAAAACTACACTTGTGTACGTTTACCACAATGGACACATTTTTTTGTCCTTAATATTAATACTCTAAAAATACAAAATGAAACTTAATTAACGAAATATTCTTTTACCCACTTAAAAAAAAATTGCGACAAATATTACAACGAAGTATGAGACGGGAGATTTTTTGCTCCATAATTTGTACAGTGTGCACATGGATTTTTCTTTTCTCTTTTCGCTGGGCCTCAATGTCAGATGTATATTTCACTGGGAATATTCCATGTCTATAATTATAGGGAAAAGGATAAAAAAACCCTCTGAGTTATGCCCAAAAGACAAATTACTCCCGACATTTCTTATAAAGACAATAATCCTCTACCGCCAAGCCAAAGGACAATTTGTTCCCTACATTAGCAAAGGACAATAATGCATCAAAACGGAGTCAACTGCGGATTTAAAATAGCGGATAATAGAATTTATAATTTTAAAAAAATAAACGATTTGGTTGGGTAAAGTTAGTGTAAAAAAAATATTTTTAGATTTAAGGGTACTTCCATCTTTTTACATTAAGATTTACTAATGCAGGGGACCATTTGTCCTTTAACTTGACGGTATGGGGGATTATTGTCCTTATAAGAAATGACGGGGAGCAATTTGTCTTTTGGACATAACTCAGAATGATTTTTATTCTTTTCTCATAATAGTTATACAAATGATCCGGTTGATAATAACTTTCTAAGATTCTTTTTAAGGTGTAGCTACTTTTATTTTTATTTTTGGTGAATTTGACTTTTAAACATGCTAAAGCATTGGAAAATTCAAAGGGACGCTAATTGACCAGTTTAAATCAGGGCAACTACTTTAATGAATTAGTATTAATTAATAATGTTTGGAGCATACTTAATATGAATGATTTAGTCCATTATAATTTCAAAGTTTTGTTTTTTTCTTTATTCAGTTTTCTTTTTTCTTTTCTGCATTAAGTTTTATATCTATTTTGTTGCGAATGGAGATACCCTACCAAATGTTAGTTGAAGTTGCACAAGAAACAAAAATTTGACCTTGAAATGTCCATTCTCCTTAACAAATTGCCGGCTTAATCTATATTAAGAGATCACTAGTCGTATAGATACAAATTTCAATTCTTATTAAAAAGAAAATTAAGAAATAATATAAGCCCCTCAACCTGAGTGGTTATACTGTGCACCCTGTTCACAATCTTTAATGCACTAGTTTTGTATTTACACGTGCTCTTATAAAAATAAATTAAAAATAATAATAATAATTTATTATAAATTAAATTAATTATGAAATTAATATTAGCAGATAACCAGATCCGTAATTTACTCAATAGGATTTCACAATTCAAAATACCATTCCTAATATAAGTAAAATTCATAATCAAAACCTTCTTATCATACCATATTTAAAGGAAACCAAAAAAAAAAAAAAAAATTCGATCGATAAAAGTGATTGATTAATTTGAAGTTCATACAATCATACACATATATTGTTTTATGATGTTAATATTAAATCCGTGACAATGTAATTAAATGTTTGGTTCATGACTTACTTTAGTCAAGTTCATAGTAATTGTATTTAATTTTCATGATTTTTATATATATAGGATTTTTCTTTTTTTTTTTTGTGCTTTCACAACGGATAATAGTTGCTAATATATATTTTATAGTAGTATGTTCATGATGTAGTTTAGAATTTTTCCGACATTTATAAAGTGAGGCTCATTAGTGTTTTCATGTTAATTGTGTTTGGATCGTATGAACAATGTAATATATTTTTATGAATATTTTATTGTATGTGCAAGGTTTAAATATACTTTTAAGTCTTTGAACAATAATTTATATTATTATGTTTTACCAATTATGTTGCTATGAACATTTTAATTATATGTTGAGGTCATAAATATCTGTGTTTTGTTTCATGTATAATGTAAAATAATATTATGAACATTATATTAAAACTTTTGAATTTCTTTTCCATGAACATTGCATACAGTAATTATGAATAATTTGAAATTATATTCAATTTTACTAAAATCATGAGAATAAAACCTGAGCGTAGGTTTTATTTGTGGGAAAAAAAAGTTAAATTTACTCCCTTTTTATGTGCGTGAAATACAACTCATAAAACTAATAAACCATATATTGTGAACCTATTCACCATATAAATTGCCCTTCAGCCTATCCTAGTGACCCATGTAGAAATCTGGATGATTTATTTATTTATCTTCACCAATGCATTGCATCTGACATTTTGTAGATAGCCATTCCTACTCAATTTTCACATCGAAACATTCTTATCATTACTCATGAGCTAACTCAACTGCGGCTAAAATCCCATAGCATTTACATTCACTAAAGTAAAAGAAACTGGACGAAGAAAATATAAATGCTGGAAATGAGGAAATCATTCAGAAGCAACCACAATCAGCTGTTTTCCGACGTTGCGACCACTGAAGAGACCTACAAGAGCAGCAGGGCCATTTTCAAGCCCTTCTGCAATGTCTTCCACATAGTTGATCTTCTTGGCCTTGATATTAGGCAGCACAAACTCCAAAAACTTTGGGTATAAGTGCACATAATCACTGTAGCCAAATCCTTGGATCTTTATGCGTTTGAATATAACATTAGCCAAATTTTTCACTCCCTCAGGTTCCACAAGATTGTACTGTGAGATCATTCCACACACTGCTATTCTACCAAACTTTTTCATGTTGAGAAGTACTGCGTCCAGTGTCTTTCCTCCGACATTCTCAAAGTATATGTCGATTCCTTCTGGGAAGTACCTGGAAGAGAAACTTTCTTTTAAGAGATTTATGATCCTAACTAAGCATGGCTAAAATCTGCAGGACACAGCAAATGTTGGTTGTTCATTTAAATGTGTTTGAATGAAGACTATATTTCTAAAGTTGTTCTAGATGAAAGTTAACTAGAATACTAGAGAATGGATTAAATGACTTCCTTAATAACATAGCAGATTGGCCTACTTTAGAATATCGGTTTTAATTGTAATCTTTATTCACAACTGGTAGATTCACAGCAGATCGGTCAGTACAAGTAGCATGTACCAATTTGGCCAAGTGTTGCATCAATGAGTTTCAGAAGGGTTGCAATCTGTGGATAATCTGGTAGCAGATTAACTGATATGGGAAGATTCTGAAGTAGTCAAAACAAACCTTGCTACGTCAATGAGTGTTTGGCTCGAGGGTATACCATTAATCTTGTTTCAAGACTACTAGGGAGAAATCATCAAAGAATCTGGCATCTTAACAATCTTAACAGTTAACAATGTTTTCCTGCTCTTTCCTTATGAAGAAGATGGAGCCAAAGTTTGAGATGAATGAGACCTCATGCAATTTATTTGGGTATGGTAACTCATCATGCACGTTAAATCAGGTAATGAATTCTACACATTTCAAGGAAGACACTGACAGAACAAAAAAAATTAGAGCAAGCAGGAAGCAAAATGTAGCTTGGTAAAATCAAACAGTACAAACCTTTTCAGAGCCAAGTCCAAGTCTTTCTCTTCTTTGTAATTAAAAGCATCATCAAACCCAAGCTTGTTCTTCAGAAGATCAACCTTACCAATATAAAACAAACATAAAATGCCAGTTAAAAATTATAGCCAACCTGATTCGCAGAGCAGGAAGAGGAGCAACACTCTCAGGATAACAAACATGAATGAAAAATATTGAATTTGTAAGGTGAACCATTCCATAAATCAGTCCTCTCCGAAGAGCACAATCTAGATATGCAAACATTTTAAAATTAAGGAGCTTCAAACCTTCATTTGCTACATCGCTATTCAAATCTCATATGTCATTAGATTATTGAAAACCATAAACTGTATCATTCATTGTCTCATCAACAACTTCAGACAGAATAAATGTACTTGCAGAGTTGTACGCAATAGTCTGGTTATTCAAGACAATCACTGATGCATTCTGCAGATTCTTAACAGTTGTAGGGGCATGTAAGATCAACTTAACCATCTACCAACTGGTTAACATGATAAGGTAGAGGTAGAAGTTTACATCATAAGTTAATTAGTTGATGTACGACACATAAAAAGTAAAAAAGGCAAGACTTGCAGTACCTTTTCTTTACTTCCGGCGCTTCCAACTACATAACATCCTGTCAGTTTTGCAAATTGTCCAACAAGTTGGCCAACTGCACCAGCTGCTGCAGATACATATACCTTTTCTCCTTTCTTTGGTTCGCACACTTCGAAGAATCCACAATAAGCAGTCATACCCGGCATACCTTTCAAAAAGTATAAAAGAACCACTCTTTAGTGAAGAAAACATGGAAGAAATAGATCATAAAATCCGAACTAAATACCACATGCGTCAGCAAGTGGTCAAAACAAGATTTTAATGAATTTCATCATCTAGGTAGTTAAGTCCCATATCAGTATCAGCTGAAGACATATATAATACCACGAAGTAGAAGTCATGAATCTCACTTTCAGCTTCTAGTCCAAGATGACAACAAAAGTCTTACTATGGGGTCCTATCGACAAAATTGGCCTGAAGAATGGAAAAGAAATTTCAGAGCTGTTCCTCCAATGACTGAAGACAGGGACTCCATATCCATGGTTAATAAAATGTTGAGATGCAAAACTGTCTACTGATGCAGTGACACTTCATAATGGAAACATGGGAAACATATGCGCCATCCTTTTTCCTTTTTTTGTCTGGATTGATGATCTACACTAATTTGAACTGATTGGAATAAGAATGCATGCCAACAGACAGTCACCACATTTCATTGCAAAATTGATTGGAGAACAGGTTAATTTACCTAGAAGACCAGTGTAATAAGAAAGTGGTACATCTGTGTGCTCTATCTTGATCAAGGATTCTGGTTTTTCTACGAGACTGTACTCCTCCCATCCTGTAATTCCCCAAACCAAATCACCCTTTTTGAGACTAGAATGTCCTGAATCTACTACCTTTGACACCCCGAATCCAGTTATTGGCTGCGAGTTACCATCCAAAGATCAAACAAGGGAAACAAATATCAAATCACAGTAATTCAAACCATCTAACATGTCAATAACAGAAACTAACCCAATCAAGCCATTCTAGCTTTGGAGTTTTCAAAATAAATGCAGCCTATTAAATATGAACTTCTCATTGATTAAAATTTCAGAATAACAGCCCAATAATCTGCAAACTAGAACCATACTGAAAACTTTCTTCACCAAAACTATTTTGTAATTTCACTTATGCAGGAAGATTCTAGTAGTTTCTTTCACTTACTCGATCCATCAACAAACAATCCCCAAAAATTGATATCTGAAATCCCAACTTGTAACGAATACGACCACTGTTTCAAGTGCTTCCACAAAAATCAAAGAGCACATACATATATGAAACAACAATAATCATAAGCTAGTACTTACAGAGCCAGGAGTGTAACCAGAAAATGCACCCTCCATACTAGAATCTTCCTGCATAAGTAGCCTCTGGTAAGGATCACATGACAAGTAAAGATTTTTAAGCAAAACCCCATTTGAGCCTTGTGGGACTTTCAAACTAATGGTGGTGTCTGTGATGATTTCCAGATCAGACTCCTTTGGAACTCCAGATGGGTAGCTTTTCAGTACCACCTTCTTGTTCTTCACCACCTCTGCCATTATTTTTAATTGATGAAAAGTACTTGGAACTTAGTATAAATGATTGAATATTATGGAGTATTACTGTTGTTCATTGGAGCAAAAAAGAATTGGGATTTTATAGATAGGGACTAAAATTCTGGAAGTTTGTGGTTGTGGGATAATTTCAGATTTCCGAAACTGTCTGGAATATGTGAAATATGTCATTAACTTTGCATTTGGGTTTATTCAATTGGAGGAACAAATATGGACATATTTGATCCACATAAGTCCAGAAATCTTGTAGTATCAGAAAAAGGTCCAGAAATCTCATTTTCAAAGGAAAAATCAAAACCCAAAAGAGAATCCATATTACAAATGTAGCTGGAAAATAAAACAGTCTTTCTTTCGTCCTTTCTCCGTTTCACCAATTACAGATATAATTGACCACCCGCAGTTATTTAGTTTTGAGATTACACCAACCTAAAATCACACTAAAAAAGAAAATTCCTTGTACATTTCCTAACCATACGATGTCTTAATCTATTGGAGTGCACCTAGTTTGTACTATGATTTCTAGTTTGTTGAAATTTCAAATGCTGTACAATCTAATAAATTACGATGCAGTTAGATTTGACAAATGGGAAATTATTGTAAATAAAGTCAAGACAAAGAAAAGAACAATCTAGTCTAGTAATAATAAATTTTTTTTAATTTTTTAATTTTTAGTTTTACTGATACTTGGTATGTATGTCAAGTTTTTTTTTTTTTTTTTAAAGATTAAAGTATTATATTAAAAGATTAAAGAGGGGTACTTGTACACATTGTTTGGTAATAGGCAAGCCTATGTACCTCTTCTACTTGACATCTATCTACTTTAATTAAAGAACATCTAACAAACTTATGTTTTAGTTGAATAATTTCACCTATTAGAATCTGAGCTTCTATGGGGAAATCCAATTCACGCAAACATTGCGCTTCTAAAGCACTACAGTCTGTATATACCGTAACAGTCATAAGACCCAATTGTGATGCAGCTTGGAGGGCCAATTTACACGCATGCGCTTCAGCTTGTGAGGCCGATAAAGCCTGTATTTGGACCGCTTTTATTTGTAAAATTGACCCTGTTGAGGATTTTATATTTCAAGCAGCACTTGCACGTCTTGTTGACTGTCGGTAAGATCCATCAAAGTTAATTAATGCTTGGTATTCTAGTAAATTCCACCCACTCAAATTAACTGAGATAACGCTGACTTCTTCAGTTTCTAAATTCATCTCCTTTTGTCTAGCCTTGTCGAATTTTTTTTTGTTCATTTGGACTACTAGAGATCAACTATCCCCCATCGGTAGTGTTGCCAGCCAGTTTTCAATCCAAGATCGAAACAAGATTGGACGGTTGGAGGCAAAGTGGCTCCTCAATGAAGACAATTTCCAGATCTGGAGCGACCATTCGCACCCGAGGAAGACATGATCCGTGTCTTCCTCTATCTGTTGGCATCGTGCACAAATCGGAGAAAGATCAACCCTTCGTTTATTCAGATCAATCAACGTTGGAAGCGCCACCGTCAAAGCTCTCCAGGTCAGTAACTTATATTTAGCAGGAGCTTGCAATTTCCACAATTGTTGCCACATATTTCGAGTAGATACTGCGACATCAGGAGGATTTTTTCCTGCGATATTCATAGCTTGGTAGTATCCTGACTTAACTGTATACTGTCCATTTGGATTTGCTTGCCAAATGATCTTGTCATCTTGGTCTACTAGCTGAGGATTGATGTAGATACCTTGAATTTGGTGTATGATATCGTCTGAAAAAATTCTTCGCAATATGCTTAGCTTCCATTGTCCACTTGTAGACAGGAGATCTTTAACTCTGTAATTTGCATGAATGGCTAGTATTGAATCTGAATGGATTGAGTTTACCTGGTTTGGAATCCAATTCTCATGGATTTTTATGCTTTTTCTTGAGATAACCCGCCATTTTGTCTGTGACCGTAGTAGCTCTGCCCCCCAAAGGACACCTTTGAAGCCCCATGTCGTATTATTCACCTTACTTAGATGTAGGAGAGACTTATCATGATAGTATTTCCCCTCATAGATCTGAGCAATCAAGGAATTTGGTTGAGTGACTGCTTTCAAAGCATGTTTAGCCAACATTTCTTGATTGAATTCTTTGGCTGATCTCAAACCTAAGTCTCTATGCAGTTTAGAATACATAATTTATGCCAAGCTCTCCAGTGAATTCCCTCTCCTCCTTGTCTCCTTGTCTCCTTTCCATATGAAATGGGAAATTCTTTGATCCACCTTTGTGAGTGTTGAGACCGGTAACTTGAACATCCCATAGGGTATGTCATCATGGAGGAAAATGTAGTCTTTGCTAACGTGATTTTGCCCATGACTGAAAGCGATCTTGTCTTCCAATCTAAAAATTTGGCCCGAATTTTCTTTTCAAAATGCTCAAATATCTTCTTTTTTGGCTGTACAAAGTTGAGGTCAATTCCCAGATATTTTCCAAGGGAAGCCCCTTGTGGGATATTCAGGAATTGGTGGAAATATCGTTCCCAGTCAGGGGGGATTTGGACTGAGTAAAATAATAGACTTCTGAAAATTGATCCTCTGTCCAGAAAACTTTGAATATGTTTGAATAGCTCTGTTTAGTCCCTTGATTGCATCATCCTCCACTTCTAAAAAGAAAATAGTATTATCCGCATACATTAGATGGTTTATTTATTTTCGGTGTATGCCTCCCCAATCTTATACCCAAGCCCCAAATGGTTGTCGCCTCATGGTGGATGGTTGCTGACAGAACTTGCTGATAGAGAATAAACAGATAAGGGGACATCGGGCAACCTTGTCTCAATCCACGTCTTGGCTGGAATTTCCTTGAACTCTCTCCATTAAACAGAATAGAGTAGGAGACTGTAGTTACACAGCTCATAATAAAGGTAATTAAAGATGAAGGAAAATGTAATCGGATTAGCACTGCTTGCAAAAAATCCCAAGACACTTTGTCATAGGCCTTGGTCATATCGAGTTTTACCGCAGTCATTCCAATACACCCTTTTCTATTCTTGATATGCTGAATAAGTTCGTGTGCAATCAGGAGGCTTTCACTAATATATCTTCCATGCACGAATCCATTTTGCTGTTCATCTATCAAGGAATCCATCACAAGCTTGAGTCTTGTCGTGATCATTTTTGCGATGATTTTGTATTTCACATTGCAAAGGCCTATAGGACGGAAATCTGAGGCTTTCTTTGGGATTTGGACTTTGGGGATGAGAACTAGATTAATTTGGTTCCATTCATCATCTATGCATTGTTGTTGACATGATTTTAGAACACTTGATGTGACCAGACCTTTGACTTGCTGCCAGTATTTTTGATAAAATCCTGTAGGGACACCGTCAGGACCCGGCGATTTCTAAGGGGCCATAGCTTTTATTGCTGCTAGGACTTCATCACTGTTGAAAGGTTGGCTGAGATATTGCACTTGTTCTGAGGTGAGCTCTCTTTGAATACGAGACAATACTTCTTGTAAATTTGTTGTCGGAACTTCATCATGAAGTGGAAAAGGATCCGGATCAATGTAGATATGCTGAAAATGTCTTTGAATGATTTCATTTATGATCAGGGGATCATATTGCCATTCATCCTGCTCATTTTGTAATTACGTGATCCACTTATTTCCTGTGTTTCGGGTAGCCCATTTATGAAATAATTTGGTATTAATGTCTCCTTGTAGAGGCCAATTAATCTTTGCACGCTAACTCCAATAATCCTATTGTAGCTATAATGTTTCCTCTAACTCTAATTTGGAGTCATTTAATGCTTCCTGCGAAATTGGATTCTGTAGGTCATTTTCCCATTTAACCTGATTGTGTTGGAGCGTTGCCATTAACTCCTTAACTGTTTCTTTTAAACCACCAAACCTCTGCTGACTCCACTCACTGGCTTTAGTAAGACAATTTTCCAGGCATGTTGAAAGATTGGTCGTAGGCTCATGGTCAGCAGACTGATGTACCACTGCCTCTTGCCTATGATCTCCTGTACCTGCTTGCATTTAACTCAAAAAGATTCAAATTTAATTTGACTCTTAGTTCGAGATGGGCTACCCTTAAGTTCTAGTAAAATTGGCCCATGATCTGATCGCATGATAGGTCGATTGCATAGATGAGCCTTATAAAAGTGCTGTATCCAGTCCTTGTTGACGAATGCCCTATCCAACCTCTCATAAATTTCCTCGCCCCCTTTGCGATTGTTGGACCATGTATACCAACACCCAAGGTGTTTCAATTCTGAGAGAGAGTGCTTCTTGATTATGTCCATGAGCATGTTTGGCTCATTATTTGTAACAACTCGCCCTCCCCACTTATCTTCCTGACTTAGAACTTGGTTGAAATCCCCTACTAGAATGCTAGGGTACTGCAAATTGGCTAGAGCCATACTTAATTGCTGCCATACAAAAGGTCGACCTTGTCTATGGGGATATCCATACAAAAAGATGCCTAACCATTGTAATCCCCAAGGTTCGACAAACTTAGCGATAATAAAATTAGAGCTACTACTTAAGATAGACACCTTAATACTATTACACCAAAATAAACTTAAACCTCCACTTCTACCAACAGGATTAGTTATAGTAGAATTCATAAAACTAGTACTTTGTTGCCACTGCCGCACTTTATCTTCCTCTGCAAGTGTTTCCATAAGAAACAACACTTGAGGATGATATTCTTTGAGTAGTCGCGCCAAAGTTTGAGAAGTAGGGGTCTTTCGCAAGCCCCTACAATTCCAACAGAGGACTCTCATTGACATTGCAGCGATTGATTTGGTTCAATCGCCGGGAAAACCTTCTCTGCTCCTTTCTTGATTGCTGGTAGTGCTGGTGGTGGATATGGTTTCAGCTTCAGTTTCAGCTTCTTGCCCTTAGGAATAGTCAAAGGTGTATCTGGTATGTTCCTCTTGTGGCTAGTCATCCTTCCATCAGGCATTGACCAGAAAATGCTTGTGTCTGTCTGAGTAAATAGGGCAGGTGCATCAGACCAGGTAGAGACTTTTTGTATGATTCTGCGATGACTGTTACCCCAGTTGTGACTTGTTTTCCGAATCCTCTGAGTTCTCTTTTTCCTGATTTTATCCGTCTGCCTCAGCCTGCCAAAATCACTTTCAGCATCAGAGAGTAGCTCAAACAAGGCTGAAGTAGATACCTGATACGGGTTAAGCTGGATCGGGGAGCTGTTCGAGTTGATAGAAAAATTGTCGGCTTTATCTTCAGCATAAGTGGGTTTTTGGAAACAAAAGTACCCCTTCTTGAGTTTGTTGACCTTTCGTTGCTGCCATTCCCAAAGCATGTCCTTTCGTGCCAACAGATGAACTTCTACATCCTGTAGTTTTGGCCACTCCACATATTCTTTGGTCAATTCATGAACCTCATGTAAGTCCCCTCCGGGTTTTGTTGCCACCCGGAGAGGTTGTGAAGAGAGATGTTCCTTTTCTGCTAGGATTGGGGACAGTTCCGCAAGATTCACCATGTGATTCGGCTGGCTTGTTTTAGCTGCATCTTCCCGTTGCTGAGATGTACTACCTTCATTTGGAAGGTTTTGTTAACCATCCTGCAAAAGAGTATTTACCACCTCTGTCTGCTTTAACAGTTCTTCAGTCGATGTGAAGGCCAGATGTCCTTCCTCATTAACTCCGACATGCACATCACAGGGTGATGCATGATTATTGTGATTGACTTAGCCACATGTTCCTTCGGGGCCAACGGGGTAGCCATGGTTGAAGGAGGCTATTGCTAGTTGGTAGACAATAAATAGATCCCCCCGGCAGATTACTGTGGCCAACATCCATAAGTGCTGGGCCTCCTCCATTTGGCAGACCTCCATGGAACTCGAGTTCTGTTGGCTGATTTTTGCCTCCATTATCCGAAGGGGAGGGGGGAACTTCTGGGATATGAAAACCATTTTCAGATGGCTGAAATCCATTAGCTTCAGGTTGCATGGGGGCTTCATTTCCTTGATTGTCATCATCCATATGATCATTCGGGTCTTCCTCCTGTATCTCATCATTTAAATCAGGGTTTGGGGGCTGTACATGTTCCAAACCATGCTTGACTCTCATTGTAATTTCAAAACCATTTTTAATGGTATTTTCATCAACAGTGGCGAAATAGTTCCTTTGACTATCCACAAATGTCTCTGTGATGATGGAGGTTCGCTTATGATTTTTATGACCATGAGCCCTCATTGATTCAGAAAAAAGTTTTTTCATGTTGTCCTTCACCAGTGGAACGTTGTTTCCAGCAGATTCATTGAAGAAGTACTCATCAAGGTAGGATTCCAATTGAGCATCGCTAAGATGGAGACACCTTGTGAGTGGGTGAGCGAGTTGGCCACATGGGAGACAAAACTTATGCATTCTTTCATAGCGGCACTCTAACCAGGTTTCCTGCTCCGAGTCCAATGTTACATAGAAGCCTGGATTGAGAGGTTCATGTGGCTTAATCCAGATTTTTGCTCGTATATATGTTGTCGTAGATAAAGACTCTGCATCATCCATTACTTTTTCTACTTCACCCATTTGTTCTGCCACGAACCTCACTCCCAGGGGGTTGAAGCAATCAAGTGGGACGTGATGAAGTCTGGACCAAATGGAGAGTTTAGTAACTCTAAGATTGCTGATGTAAAATTGGGAATTCCATCGACGTACCAGCAGGAGACCACCATCAATCGCATAAGGGCCATTGTGAAGCACCAATAGCATCCCTTCTTTGTTTAAAAATTGAATTACATAGATATTTCGGTCACAGTGGATAATCTGGGCATAGAGACCCCAATTCATAGTAAGGAAATGCTGCATGGTATTCGGTTTGTCATGGGATTTGGTTTGAAGCTCTTTGGCTAATGAGATGTCTGTTAGCATCACTTCCATTTTGGAAGTAAAATGTCTACCAAACCGCTACTTCAACTTTGTTAAAATCAACCTTTCATGATCATCATTGTCTCTCCTGTCAAACAAAAGGCGGTGAGAAAGCTTCTTGCGGTGAAATTCACTAAAAAGATCCCTGTCTTGAATGTAATCCAGGAGATTCAAACCCGAATCCTCTTTTTCGAGCAACTGATTTCCATGAGTAACCAACAACTCAATCTCGTCTCTTTCCAAGAGCTTTCTCTCCGAACTCGCTTGCAAATAATGAGAAACCCTATCTTTCTCCCTCCTCAAACATTCATCGGCCTTTCTCATAAACTCCGAGCAAGAATCCTCCACGACCCAACTCGACGATTTCCTCGAATAATATGTACTCGTTTCCTCGAGCATGTGTCCTTCAAAATCATTCACATAAAATGTATCCACGTCTCCTTTACCTAATTCAACAAACATGTAAATTGCCTTCTTAATCAAAGCCCTATCAACTTGCCCACCTTCCCTTGCATGATTGATCAAACCCAAAATCGCATCCCTCAAATTCTCTTTCAGATCTTCATAAACCAAGATCTGGAATAGGGCCACACCGGCATCATTCAGAGAATCCACACCATTCTGTGACGCGTAAAACCGGTCCAAGTAATGAAAGAACCGGGAAAGCCACTTGAGCATGACCTTGTGGTTTTCCCATCTAAGCACCACTTTCCTCAACCAAGACTCGTTGTCGAGGCCGTGGCGGCGTTTTCTTTCAGAACCGGAAGAACTAGGGCAACAAGATAATCATCTAGGGTTTGTTTGTACCTTTGGTATAACTCAGGAAGGGGACGTCCTTCACCTTGTTCAGGCTTAGAGGTAGCTAGGTTAAATATGACGGTGTATAAAGTCATGTATTCCGATGAAGTGAATAAACGACTTTGATTGTTCCTCAGAATGTGATCATCATAATTTGGTTCCAAGAAACCCTTCAGTTTCTTGATGCCATTTTCCATGAATTCCCATCCTTCTTCCCATGCTCTGATACGCTTCCTTGACATCTCGAAAAGATAAAGAGGAAAAGAAAGAAAATAGTCTTGTTTTGCAAAGGGCTATTCCTTTTATAGATGTGACGAAGATTTCCTATTCCATTTGAAATTCGGAAAGTATACGTATTAATTTATCTATGATAAATAAACCGACTTTCCAAAATTGAAAAAAGAAGTGGATTTAGTAATCCGAATCTGGATCTTCTTCTGTTGTTCCTCAATTTTTTAATTTTTTTTTAAATTTTTTTTTTAAGAAGTGTTGTTCCTCAATTATATATTATTGTGGTACCGCCTTGTGTGGCAACATTTTAAATTGAATTTTATTGGGTATGCAGTATGCACTCTCATAAATAAATAAATAAATACACATACCAGTGGAACTAATCCATTCTTATTATAAAGCGGGAAGAAGGTTTTTACAGTGTTTTTGTTTGTTGGTTTGTTGTCACCCTTTTCTTTCTCATCTCCTCTTCTTCCTTCTCTCTATTAGCCTCCCTCTCCTCTTCGTCCACCTCCGCGTCTACTAGCTCCCTATTCCCCATCAACCTACGCCCTCCCAAAAATAGATGCTTGTTTGGACGTCAACTTACATTTCATTTTGCCACTTAAAAGTGGAAAGTATTTCAAATTGAAAATAAATGGGAAATAAAAATGTTGTTTGGATGTTGGTTTTGAAAAAAAGTATTTTGAACTACATTTTGAAATATCAAGTACAAGTCATCACTAAATAATTAAATACGGTCAATTATAGTCACTACAAAAAAGAACTTTTCAAAAACAATCACTCAACAAACAGAATCCTGCCAAATTTGTCACTGAACTATTTGTAGTTCTAAAATGATCATTACACTAACAAAAAGTGTTTCAAGTTGGAACTTAAATTGTAAATCAGAAAATTGTTTGGATAATATTTTCTTTTCCATTGGGTTTTGTGTTTAAGAGGTAAAATGAGTGAAAATGTAAAATGAGTTGATGTCTAAACAAGGCCAGAATCGTTCAGCCACTAAAAAGACAGCCTAACTTTTATCTCAATTACTAACCCCAGGTGTCCTTAGTATTTCTCGATTTCTACAGCTAAACTATCTTTTTTTTTTTTTTCTCTTTTCTTGATTTGGGTAGAAATGACAAGATTATTGTCCAGATTTGAAGCATTGGAGTTCTATTTCAAGTAGTAACTGGCTCATTCAATAGATTCACTTTTGGTTGATGATTTCATGGTAATTTAAGGTATTTCATCAGATTAATTACCGCTCGTTGCTCAAAAAAAGATGGACCTAGATCATATATAACAATTGAAAAAGCAATAAAATGGTTGCCCATACTTCTCTCCGAGACTATTCTGTGTGTTGGTGCATTTGGCAGCGAAGGCGCACTTCATTTGTTTGATAAAATGACTGAGAGAGATAACACACACGAAGTTACTAATAACTATGCACATAAGCACGTATTTATTATTACGTGCTACATATATAGAGTAGATTAACTGGAAGTTCCATATAAACGAGTCTACTCTTTCCATCCAAAAAGAGAAAATCGACTTTTAGAGATGTCAGTACCAAAAAAATGAGGTCTGGTTTGTAAAAATTAGTACAATTAAGTAGTCGGTCTGTTCCAAAAAATAATTCATATGAAATTTTGAGATTTATGCTAAAAATTTGAATGATTAATAATTGAACTTATGATATTTTGTAAATATAATTGACATAATTAATTAATGGTCTAATCCGAAAAGAATTAAAATAAGCAACTCATACTGCCGCCGCGTAGCGGGGGCATGAAATTCCTAGTAATTGTAATAAAGCCTAAACAAAATCATGCAAAACACAAAGACTTCAATAGTATCGCGTTTGTCTTCATCGATAAGTGAAAATAAGTACATAACGAAAAAATTAAGTAGTTCACCTCTACTAATATCCACTCTTACAACAAAACCTTTTGATCTCTTTTCAATCATTGTGATGGCGACCCAGTCAATTGTAAGTCGCGCGAATCTGAGAAGTCATGAAATTATCGTCTCTAGCCGCGTGTAATATTTTCGCAGATTAATAGAAACCATATTGACATCTCATCGTAAGATTATCAGATATCATGGGAATAGAGTAACCTTAAATACTTTGATCAACTGTCACACTCATTAAGGTGACTACAATTCAGCGAGGAGTTTAATTACTGTTGTCGACTGTGGACACCATACAAATATATATATATATATATATATAAAAGAAATCGTAAGATTATCAGAGCTCAAACCCACGAATCACAATCCTAAGTCTCGGTGGATCGAAATGAGTGATAATCAAAATCTGTACGACTGTACCACCAAAGTAACAAAACTTCAAGGAATCTCAAACCAGATATTGGAAAGGGATCAATTATAGTCCAATTAAGGAACTCATTTTTCCTAAATTATTATCACCGAATAATTAGCTCATAATATCAGTGATTTGAATAACGGGAACTGAAAGGCTTTAAACCTCATGAGATCTTGTGAATCGTGAGCTATAATTTCCACATTTATATTCTCCCCGAATCATTTTCCTTCGTACACCTTGTGAAATTTGCAAAGGGCTCCATAATTTATGTTAGTACAAGGAGAAATCAGAAGTCAAGCAATACCACTCCACTAAGGAAATCACTTTCAATTAAATTTTTTAAAACCAACAATACAAACATTAAATGTTTTTGCCAGCAGAAAATAATTTAAACAATTCCGTGATGAATTTAAATCCAAATACCATAGGTCCCCATCGTTAATTATTGAAAACAAACAAAAAATAAGCATGTGCCTGAATTCGTAGCATAAGATAACAATCACAGATCTTTCATGCATTGCTGTAAGTTTTTCAGAAACGGTTGTTGAAAATGAACAATTGAACATCGACATGGCATTATTAGTAATAGGCATTGACAATGAAATGCCGTAAGCTTGTTGACAATTACGATCCATGCTATAAAGCCTGTTTATGTTATGACCCCTTTTTTTTTTTAAAAAAATAATAAGTATGATGATGTAGACAGATGAGGAAATCTTTATAATAATGAAGCGTTGTTCAAACCTACTAAATATATCCTTAGGTAATTGTACATGAGCAATTTCCTCAAGGGTGTTGTGTATTATGATTGGTTTGTGGTATAAGTTATATTATTATTGTTGTTGTTGTCTTGTTACTGTTACCATGTTATTTTTGGTGTTTAGACACAATCAGATTCAAGAGTTTTTCTTTGTTCCAATAGAATTGAATTTTTATATATTGTGTAAATTTTTAACTGACTACCGAAATTTTCAGATTGGTCTTCCAAGTTTGTATTTTTGTCACTTTTGCCCCAAAGCTTCTTCAAATTTTCAAATAGGTCCCTAGACGTCCAAATTAGCCCAAATCAGCTCCAATATCTTATTTCTAGCTCCTAACATAAAATAATAACAAAACTAATGAATTAAATCCATCCAAGTCTATAAACTAATAAAATATCAACAATTAAAACACAATTTATGGACTCTATCAAATTCCCCCACACTTAAAGCATGCTTGTCCTCAAGCATTAAAGAACAAAGGAAATTTAACTATTCTTATTCAAGATGCACCTCAGAAACTTTAGCACTCAGAAGAAATCATGGTAACGATGAAACAAAAATTCACAACCGAGTCAAATACATAATGTACTTTTACCCTTTAGCCCTTTTTGTGTGTGTGTGTAAACAACTTCTTAGGGACATCACGGTTACACATAGCATAAAATACAAAAATTGAAATGTAAATATGCCACTGAAGAGTGAACTTAAGATCCCCAATTCAGATCGTACTTCAATGCAATGTTACTCCTACACATATTATGAAACCGAAGGCTTACAATTACACCTCACATAATACAATTCAACGCACTTCCCTTATACCCATTCTTCAGTGTCCATATGGCTTTTCTTCAGGATCTTTCCCACTCAGTCCCCTACCCAGAGCATTTTTCCACTTGATGTATGTAGTGACTTGTATAGTGGCTCAGCAACTTAGGGCAGTCTACTTACTCATATTTTCTCACCGACGGGCCTGAGGACACTCTGCTAGTTGTTTGCCAGACTTCTCACCTATAAATGGGCTAGCATCAACATTGAATGCTCTTCTTTTTCTCCCTCTTTAAATTGTACCTAACCTCAGAAAAGCATCTGCCAACAACCCCTTCCCCACACTTACTTAGTACGAAGTACTTTAAGCAAGAAGGTAAAAAGGCTATTTTCAAACCACCACTCCCCCGTTTTTCGAGGTTCAAGTGATGATAAGGTTAATGCCTACTTTTGGGTTCTATAATATAGTAAGGTCCCACATGCACATAGTTCAAAATACTGAATGAATCAAATCAAACTTTGGCATATCACATGAATTTAGGTAATTACACATACATGTTAAGTTTATCCCAGAGTTACGGCTAAAGTGCGCAAGTAAAGTATTCAGGATATAACACATAATGCATAGACTCAAAAGAAATTTTTGTCCCAATGTAATTAGATTTCTCAGAGCCTCAAGTTAAATTCATCATTGGCTATTTTTGGTATTTTTTATTTTTCTTGATTTTTTTTTTTCATTTTTCAATTTTTTTCTTCTTTTTTTTTTATGAAAAGACGCAAAAACACACAAAAGAAAACAAGAAAACACACAAAAGAAAACAGAAACCCCTCCCCTACACTTCATTTGTACATTGTCCTCAATGTAGCTTATGGTACTCACACAAAACAAGTAAACCAAGGAGCTAAGCACGACTTCATAGTGTGGGATACAACAACACATTTAAATTCAATTCACTCAAATTCAATCCCCACGAAACAACCACTAAAGGCACAAATCAAACTCAACTCGTAGCAGCATAGAAGAAAAAATATTCAAACAAGTTGAGACTTATAAACATTGATACTCGACACCAATTAAAAAACAAACAAACTCCAAAGAAGACCATCATCAAAACTGAAGCAAAAAGAATTAAATCGGAACTGCTATAAAAAAGATGGAGTTAGAATCTTCCCT